CTTCAAGGTTTTAAGAAATTTTAGTATCAACAGCTTCTGACTACCCCTAATTCCCCAAAGGCCTGGCTATTCATAGGGCTTGAACCAGCCCCCACAGAAGTAGGAAAGGAATAAAAACAGAGGGAGGAGGTGACAGGCAGCTGGACAAGGAGAGTGTGGCTTTGTCTCACCTAAACCCAAGGAAGGGCAAACATCCACTGCTTTGCTGGTAGCCCAAAACGAATTTTTTTGCCTATGGCTTTCCAACAAAGGTAATTAAGAATAGGAGGCTAAACAACAGTAACAAAACAAACACTTAAGTAATACTAAGTTTGTTTCAAAATGGAGATGGTTTTTTGTAGCCACGAATGTTTCAGCTGCTGAGACAGAAAGAAGGATATATAAACCTGCATATAAACTCTTTGCTTCTCTATAACATCTAGTATTTATCAATAAAAATTATTTTAACCTGTTCTTCTAAATCATATGTGACATATAACTTTATCTTTTAAATCTCTATTACATTTCACTGAAGATAATACTCCCCAAGAATAAACTGGCGATACATTTATAAAACACCGAGGGCCCTGGGCAATAACAAAAGGTTATTCTACAACCCATGCACCCATCGACAAAATTAAATCTCTGCCTTGGGAGAGTTGTTAAATGTTGAGATAATTTGTTTAAAAAAGAGCTGAAATTTTTATGACCTGTAAATTATGGTTTATTATGAAAGCTAAGAAAGTAGCGAGACAACATTTAATTTTGTTGACGGGTGCATGGGTCAGAATAGACTAATTTTATTTCCTGTGTTGCAGAATAACCTTTTGTTTTATCTTCTTTGTTTTCTTTAAGGCAATATAAGCAGAAATTTGCATGAACAACTCTATTGCTTCCATGTTCTGTTTCCTAATACCTGCTTAAAATTCCACCTGGAGCCAGGAGCAGTGGCTCACGTCTGTAATCGCAGCACTTTGGGAGGCCGAGGCAGGTGGATCACGAGGTCAGGAGTTCAAGACCAGCCTGGCCAACATGGTGAAACCCATCTCTACTAAAAACACAAAATTTAGCCAAGCATGGCGGCAGGCGCCTATAATCGCAGCTACTCAGGAGGCTGAGGCAGGAGAATCACTTGAACCTGGGAGTCGGAGGTTGCAGTGAGCCGAGATAGAGCCACTGCACTCCAACCTGGGAGACAGAGCAAGACTCCATCTCAAAAAAAAAAAAAAAAAAATTCCACCTGGCATCCTTTACCTTTACTTGTTCTCCTTTTGGATAGGGATATAAAACTAAACATTGACACTCTATTACTTTTTGTTTAGAAGAGTATGTAACTGCAACATGACAATAATTCGATATAGGCATCCAAAATTAAACAAAATTTTAAAAACTATTCTCTTGGCCAGGTGTGGTGGCTCTCACCTATAATCCCAGCACTTTGGGAGGCCTAGGCCAGCAGATCACAAGGTCAGGAGTTCGAGACCAGCCTGGTCAACATGGTAAAACACTGTCTCTACTTAAAATACAAAAATGAGCCAGGCTTGGTGGCATGTGCCTATAATCCCAACTACTCAGAAGGCTGAGGCAGGAGAATCACTTGAACCCAGGAGGCAGAAGTTGCTGTGACTGGAGATCATGCCACTGCACTCCAGCCTGGGACAGAGAGAGACTCCCTCTCAAAAAAAAAAAAAATTATTCTCTCTATTCCCACACCAAAATTCATGTCTTACTAAGTTATGCTCCTAGCTAAATCAGGAAGTAATATTCCCTCTTAGAATGCATCAATTTCTCAATTATATGAGAATGCACGTAAAGTCTATTGAATGCAGGAATACTCTCCAGCCTCCTAACATCCCGGTTCTACTTACTCTCCTTACATATATTTCAGAAATCTATTTGACACCCACATTCATCACTGCTGAAAAGTCAAAACCCTCTCTTCACCTAGAATTTTTATCTTCCTTCATCTTAAGGACTTCTGAAAGGAACAGGAATAATGCTGGAGAGGGGGTATGTTCATGGTCTGGGAGAAGACAGACTCATGAAGAACCGAGAGGCAATATACCAGGCACCCTGGCTTCAGCCACTCACTGTCAGCATCTCTAACAATCATGTGTTTTTAAAATATGATGCCCGCCAGGTGTGGTAGCTCACACCAGCACTTTGGTAGCTGAGGCAGGGGGATCACCTGAGGTCAGGAGTTTGAGACCAGCCTGACCAATATGGTGAAACCTTGTCTGTACTAAAAATACAAGTATTAGCCAGGCATGGTGCCAGGCACCTGTAGTCCCAGCTACTTGAGAGGCTGAGACAGGATAATTGCTTGAACCTGGGAGGCAGAGGTTGCAGCGAGTCGAGATCCTGCCACTGCACTCCAGCCTGGGCGACAGAGCAAGAATGCATCTCAAAAAAAAATAAAAGATGGTGCCCAACCACTTTTAAACAGAGTCTCCATCTCCTTTCCACACAAGATGCCTCAGAGGGTAAGAGCAGATCTTAGACAATCTGTGAGCTCTATGTTCTCATCAGTTAATCCATATTTAGAAACTGCGTAAGCCAGGAAAGGTATGTAGCAGCTAAAGGAATTATAACCCCTAAAATGCAAACAACCTTAGGGCACACTTAGTCCAAACCAGTGCAGTTTTATAAGGTACATTCTTAATGGAGTTCCAGAGGACACATACTTTAGAAAAGGTGGAGTAGGCGAAAGAGCTTTGAGTTCAGTTTTAGCCTATAGTTCAAGAAAACTAAGCCACTGGTATCAAAAGCACACCAGCAGTCTCACCCACTCCACCCACCCACATATACATACACAGACATAAAGAGAAGTGGATTGCAATGCTCCTCCTTCTCTTTCATTTCCACAGAGTTCTCATAAAAAGAGCAACGAGTAAGACAGAATATTCTGATGCCTTGAGACAGGTTACATTTGGCAATACAAGGGTTAAGCAGCACTACTTTCCTAGAAACCTTCCAATTCCTAGCTACTAATGCAATTTTCCTCATTACCTGAGCTATCTAGTTTTAAAAATTCAGCAGATTAAGGGTTAAGACTAACACCGAAGAAAGAAAAGAGAACTTGGTTCAGCTCCACCCTCTCTAAAGCAAATACCAACAACCCTGAGCCAAATCCACTAAGCATACAGAAGACACCATGGACATTCCAAAACAGGTGAAAAGAGGCTTAGCTTCCTCAGGTTTCTCACCCTGCAGCACCACACACATAGTAGACTTCACAACTGGTGAACTAAACAATTGTTAGATAAAAATAAAACACACAGAAAAGTCTACTCAAGACTGGAAAACAAGTCACAGAGGTCACCACGAATCAGCAGCGATAGCTGGAATTCGGGTGAGGAAGGTCAAACAGTACCCATGGAAACAAAATCAAAACAAAAAGATAGAGAAATAGAAGGAATATGAGCCCTAGAACTTAAGTTTTGGAAGGAAAGCTAACCGACAGGTGCGGGGGCGGGGGGTCAATGCTGTGTTAGACACCAAAGAAGGGGTGTCAATACTCTTAACCCTATTATTTCTAGGGGGGAAAAAAGGTGTTCATCATATAAAAACAGGTGGTTACTGACAGCTCAGATGTCACTGGGGACAGTCCAGGAGCACTTGGTCTTACTAGGAACAGGAAGAGATGAGTCACGATTTTAATTCTGTTTAGAATTAAACACCTAACCCTCCAGGGTTAACATCTCAACCCTCTAGGTCACGAAACAACATTTTCTTCCAGTTTCTATCACTTTATCAGTTTTCTTCCCAAATTTGTGGAGCTGGATCAAAATGTTGGGAGGTAGGACTAAGAGAAAGAGGTAAGAGTTACAAGCCATTTGTTTAGTAGAAAGATACACTAGGCTAAGGGCATAAATACCTGGAAGAGGAGACAAAAGAGCTACAGTTATAACCAGCTATTATAATGATCATCAATATCCAAGACTCTTTTCCTCTTCTGGACAGTGCCCCATATCTTCCAAAGCTTTTATAGCAAAAAGCAACCAAACGGCTCCCTGGAGAGAAGCGTTGATGTGGGCAAAAGGTAAGGAAATACGATAGGGTTCCATGAATATCAATATTCCTTCAGACTCGGATTGAAAGTAACTGGCACTTGAGGAACGCAAAGGGATACCAGTAGCCGCTTTGGGGAACAAGAGGCGGTAGGAAAGGAGTTGAGGAGATGGTTATCACGGGAAATGCAAAAAAAAAAAATTCAATTACAAACTTCTTGAACTCGCAGTCCAACTTTCTTCCCACAGGAGAGATTTATCATCATCCTAGGTCAAGAAGGGCTTAGCGTTCTAACCCTCTGAAAAGTGACAAGCAACAGGGCAAAGAGACAGGTTCTCTGGATAGAGGAATACTGTTAAGCAAATAAACGTCATGCCCCAGTGGCTCTAAGACCTGGGCAGGAACCTGTTCCCGTAATGGCAAGGATAAACGTCCAGAGGAGGGTGGGGTGGGTAGGGCTCAAGTCAGGTAACATTCCTGAGGGGAAGGATTATCAGGTGACACCGGGCTAAGGGCCCAGGGGGACTGGGCGGGACGAAAGTTAGCAGGTAAAAAGGATCAATCATGGAGAAGGAAGTGACCTTTAGGAGAAGGAAATACGAGAATACCAAAAAAAGGGGTAAGGGTAAGAAGAGAAAATGGACCCAGAAGAGGGGACCAAAAAAGAGGAGGCGTGTTCGGGTACTAGAGGAAGAAGAAAGGAAGTGAGGCTGAGAGGGGAGAGATGGGGCTGAGAGCCGGCCGGGGCTATGGGGGCGGGAGGGCAGACGTGCGGGCTAGGGAACGAGGGAAGCCCCGAGGTGGCCGGGGCAGGAGCAGGGTGAGACTCCGGGGCTTCCCGCTGTCCAGGAGGCGGAGGATGTCGGGCTGCAGAGCCGCAGACCAGCGAAACGAGGAAGGGAGGCGCGGGGGCGGCTCCCCAGAGCCGGGCAGACGCCCGTGGGGCCGGCTGCAGGGGTCCAGAGGGCGGTTACGGGGCCGGTCAGGAGTAGTGTGGGAGGGACACTCACAAATTTCTTAGATTTGCCGCCGTCGCCGCCCGCCGAAGGCAGCTCATCTGGGCTTCGGCCCTTCTTCTTGTCCCGGGTACCGCGGCCGGGCCCCAGGCCCCCGCCGGGTGGCTCCATGTCCCGGTTCACGCTGGCCGGTGACCCCGCGCCTACGCCGCTCCCGCCCGGCAGCTCAGCACCCGCCGCCGCCGCCCAGCCACTCTTTAGCCAGCCACCGCGCCCCGCCTCATTAGCATGCCGGGCTGCGCGCGCCTCATGAATATACAACGATGACGCCTCGCTCCCGCCCGCCTGCCCCACTTCCGCCCGGACCCGCAGCCCCTACCAATGGGGGAAGGGAGAGGGGTGGAGGGAAGCCGCGGAAGCGCGCTACCTGCCCGACGGACCTAACCATTCGGACCCACGTCGCGGGGTGGCGAGTGGGAGGTGCAGCTCTCCGCGGCCACGGCAGGGAGCACCGCCCCCTGGCGGTTGGAGCAGGGCAGGCCTCTCTGCTCCCACGGTGCGCCCACTTGGCTGTACAGCCGGACAGCTTGGACCCTGTCACACCCCAGACCAAAAATAGCATGAGACCATTATCCTGGCAGAAAAGTAGTGCCAGGCTTTGCATAAGAATGCAGTTTTTAATGTGTGCAATACCCATGGAACACATGAAAAAATTATGAAAGTGACAGCTCCCATGTTTTGAAAGCAATGTGCCAAGAACAGAGCTCGGTCCAGTGCAAGCACTGGAGTAAACCAGACTCGCTCTGGAGTTTAATTTCCTACAGAACAAACTAATTATTGCCAACATGTACCTAAACAGCAATAACAGTTACCACTTAACCATGCCCCTGATGTCTTCTAGGCACTATGCAAAACACTGTACATGTATTTTTCTAAGTCCCCACAGTCCCATGTGATAGATTCCGCTAGGCTCACCATTTTATAAATAGTAAATTTGGACTTTGAGAGTTGAAGTGACTTGCCCAAGAAGGCATAATTGATATAAAATTTAAACCCAGCTTAGTCTGATTTGCTGCCAAGCCCTATGTTTAACCAGAATTCCCCACTGACATAAACCAAACATGAAAGAATGGGTGTTCTCCAAAAGTATATTCTTTGCTCTTCTAGCATGACTTTCTCCCTGAGCAATTTCATCCACTCTCCTAGCTACATCTATCCCTGTGTGACAGTTATATGGCTACCAGCTGGCCATCACAATATGGACTGAATCATCTTGACCACAGCTAGCAAGATTTCAAGTGTAAGTTACTCAAGGGCAGTCAGTGACTTACTCACTCTAGGGCCCCAGTGCCTCGTCAAGGGCCTGAGATATACCAGGGACTCTGCCAGGCTGGCTGTCTCCTAAATCTGACATTCATCTCTCTTATGGTCCAGAGCTTCTAACAGTGACCTGATAGAATGTTACATAGAGTTGTCCATCCCATACTTCAAACTTGACTTAGTGTTGAGCTTTCCAGGCCTTTTGTCCAAAAAGTTCAAAAGCTACTTTCAAAGCTGTGTTGAGAACAGACAGAATCAGAGGATGGAGGGGAGGAAGTGATCCATTTATCACCCTTCTTTCTTGTGCCAGTCTATATCTGCTATAATATTTATCATACTACTGACTGGATTGTAAACTCTTCCAGAGAAAGGTTCATGTTTGTGGCTACTAACAGTACTTAGCATTGTTGTTTACATAGATAATGGGCAACTTTTTATGTCAGGCCCTGTGCTAAGCACTTCACATGTTTAATCTCAGTGTATCTTCACCAACTAGCATCACTACTCTCAACAACCAGATTCAAAATTGAAGTCATCAGGCTGGGCGTGGTGGCTCAAGCCTGTAATCCCAGAACTTTGGGAGGCCGAGGCAGGTGGATCATGAGGTCAAGAGATCGAGACCATCCTGGTCAACATGGTGAAACCCCATCTCTGCTAAAAGATGGGCATGGTGGCACATGCCTGTAATCCCAGCTACTCAGGAGGCTGAGGTAGGAGAATTGCCTGAACCCAGGAGGCGGAGGCTGCAGTGAGCCGAGATTGCGCCATTGCACTCCAGCCTGGGTAACAAGAGCGAAACTCCGTCTCAAAAAAAATAAAATAAAAATCGAAGTCATCTACTTCTCTCAATCTGCCCAGGTTTGTCCAACTCTTAACCAAAATGCTCTATTGACTCCTTATATATGTAATAATCAAAACAGCATACATACTCAGGGCCTAACATAGGGTAAGTGCTGAATGAATGTTAACTATGCATTTATTACATGCATCATCACATTCATTTCCCTCTCCCTTCATAAATAGGAAACTAGCAAGAATTAACATTCCTAGAAAGGCAAAAGGTACAAAAAATACTTAGTTTATTGGATAAAAACAGTGGTAAAATGGACATAAAGCCAAAAGTGAGAACAGGACATTTTCATATCCTCCCCACACTTGAAAACATACTTCCCATCATCTGAGATTCAGGTGTTAGGGAGCCAGAGCTCCTGCCAAATCCCTCTCTCTTCACCTTCCCTGGAAGCAAGGGGAGGAGGAAGTCCAGGGCAAACTCAGTCCCTGTCTACCGTTCATCTCTCAAAATCTCTGAGTTGGAGGGAAGCAGGAAAGGAATAAGGGGCAAGAGGGGCCAGGGACTGGCCTCCAGGGCCCACTGCCAATAATGTCCCAGATAGCTATCCTTGTCCATATCTCATCCCTAATAGGTACCATTGTCAGGCCTTGGGAGAGAGAGGAAATGGGGTTGATGGTTCGAAAACCAAATATGGTCTCCAGACTCTTTCCCAGAGTCAGCAAAAGCCCTGGCATGACCACTCCAGGACTGTAGGAGCTACTCCTTTTCCCTCCAGCCCAACCAGGAGGCAAAAAGAAATTCTGTGGGACACAGCATTCCAAGCCGCTCTTAAATCTCCACATCGCTTTCTTTGTCATTGTCATGGTCTCCATCATAGAACTCATTGGGTGCCTCTGGCCTGCAAAGCAAGGGGAGAGAGGTCAAGATGTCACTCCAAGTTCCAATCTTCTCCCAGCACCCTCTTCCAAAGCTGGGTAGAGACTGCTATTCATTCACCCATTCACGTATCAAATAAACATTAAGGAACTACTCTGTACAGACACTGTCATAAACCTCAGCAATACAGTAGAGAATAACAAGCCAGACAAGGTTCGTCTATCCTCAAAAAGCTTACCTAATAAATGGGATGAATAACTAACAAAGCAAATAAATATGATAATTTCAGATGATGGAGAGTACAATTAATAAAATGAAGTGATATGACTGAAGGTGACGGGAGGAAAATGGTGAAATTTCAGACAGGAATATTAGGGACATAAGACCTTATGCACATACAACCTAAAGTCCGAAGAGGAGCTGGCTAGACAAAGACTTCAGGAAGGCCATTCCAAGCCACAAGAAAACCAAGTACAAAGGTCATGAAACGGAAAGCAACTGATATATTCCAGTAAGAACAAGAAGGCCAGGACAGCTAGGGCACTGTGCATGGAGGACAGTAGTTAAAGATGAGATCCTAGATGTAGGTAAGGGCTAGCATGCAGGACCTTTTTAAGCCACATTCAAAAATTTGGATTTTCTTCTAAGTGCTAGGTAAAGGAGAGTATTAATTTTAAGAAGAATGATGTGGTATTATAAACCCATAGTGAAAGAAGGGATAGGAAAGCAAGACAGGGCCCAACAGGTACTCAATACTGGTTTTTTTCTTTTTGAAGACATATTCTCTGGGACAGAGAGAATTGAGAAAGTCATCAAAGAGAAGCTGAGGAACTAAGCCAGGAAAGGCCTTATCTGCTTGGTGAACAACGTCTCAGTTACTTCTAAGTGTACAAGGGTAAAAGGTGTGGAGTCAGAAACTCAGGTTGAATCTCGGCCCTGATATTTAACTAGCCATGTGATGTTCAGAGAGTTACTTAGTCTCGAAGGGTACAGTGGCCCACGCCTATAATCCCAGTACTGTGGGAGGCCAAGGCTGGTAGATTACCTGAGGTCTGGAGTTTGAGACCAGCCTGACCAACATGGAGAAACCCCGTCTCTACTAAGAATACAAAAAATTTAGCCAGGCGTGAAGGCACATCCCAGCTACTTGGGAGGCTGAGGCAAGAGAATTGCTTGAACCTGGGAGGTGGAGGTTGTGGTGAGCAGAGATCATGCCATTGCACTACAGCCTGGGCAACAAGGGCAAAACTCCCATCTCAAAAAAATAAGAAAGAAAGTTACTTAAGTCTCTCTGAGCCTTAGATTGCTCTTGTTTTAATCTCAGAATAAGAGCCACCAGAATTGTCTGATGGCAAAAGGATGATGCTATATATGTTTTAACAGACAGCATTTATTAGTGTCTGCTGCTTGACAAACCCACAAAAAGTGTTAACTCTTCCTATTACTACTCTGCAAGTATTATGCAAGCTGGAGCTATAGGCATCAAAGAACAGAAACTCAGTGGGTGGTCTGACAGAGAGGAAAAGGAAGAGCCTGAGGCTTCTTCTGGCTGTTTAAAGTGGGTGGTATCTAGGCTGGGGAGGTGGCTCACACCTATAATCCCAGCACTTTGGGAGGCCGAGGTGGGTGGATCATGAGGTCAAGGTATCGAGACAATCCTGGTCAACATAGTGAAACTCTGTCTCTACTAAAAATACAAAAATTAGCTGGGCATGGTGGTGCGTGCCTGTAGTCCCAGCTACTCGGGAAGCTGAGGCAGGAGAATTGCTTGAACCCAGGAGGCAGAGGTTGCGGTGAGCCAAGATCTCGCCATTACACTCCAGTCTGGGTAACAAGAGCAAAACTCCATCTAAAAAAAAAAAAAAAAAAACGGAGACTAGGCCCAGATTCTAGCCTGGAGCTATTGATAAAAAACTCAAACCTCTACAAAAGGAAGAACTTAAAACAGGTTTTACCAAACCAAACCAGACAATGAAAAGCAATTTTCAGAAGTCCTAGAAGCCCCGAAGCCAGATGTTCAGACACTTCCTCGCCCAGGAGAGCGGATCAGGGGATACTCATGGAGGAGAGTTAGAGAGGTCCCCAAGAGTCAGAGCAGTAAAGCCCAGGTCCAGAGGAGAGATACAGAGCTCTGAACTCTAAAACAAAGAAGCATATTCTGGAAGCGGCTAAGAAGCCCATCAGGCTCAGCAGCAGAGTTGGCTCAGACCTCTAACATTGCGTGGGAGCAGGACTGCGTGTCCCAGAAGTGTCCAGCTGTGGTTACCCCTCAGTCACATAAGAAAATCTGTTCTCCATTAACTGCATCTGTTTCTGCACTTCTGGGTTCTGCTGTCTTTTCGTTTTATTTTTCAGC